ATATTGAGAGCATGTGTGATTTCTTCCAAGGGTTCATGGGAGGATTGGTTTTCTTTGGTTGAATTATCCTACAATAATAGTTATCAAGATAGTATCAAGATGGTTCCGTTTGAAGCTTTATATGGTCGCAAGTGTAGCACCCCTTTGAATTGGATTGAGCCTGGTGAAAGAAGGTATTATGGGATTGATTTTATCAAAGAAGCCGAAGAGCGAGTTCAAATCATTCGACAACATATAGCAGCTGCTCAATCAAGACAAAAAAATTATGCAGATAAAAGGAGAAGTCCTATTGTGTTTCAAGTTGGAGATTATGTATATCTGAAGGTATCCCCAATGAGGAGAGTACAAAAGTTTGGAGTTAAGTGAAAACTTGCTCCTAGGTATATTGGACCATACTAGATCCTTGCACAAAAGGACCATTAGCCTAAAAACTTCAGTTGCCTCCGGAAATGAAAGTTATATTTAGTGTTTTTCATGTCTCTCAACTCAAGAAATGTCTTCGTGTGCCTGAAGAAGCTATTGAACCTACAGTATCAAGATTCAGTCGGATTTGACCTATGAAGAAAGACCTATTCGAGTGCTTGAAGTAATGGAAAGAGTGACCCGTAGCAAAGTCATCAAGTTCTACAAGGTTATTTGGAATAATCATAGTGAGCAAGACGCTACGTGGGAATGTGAAGACTATCTTTGTAAAGTTTATCCGAGTTTCTACGAGGAATGGTAGGTCGTGCAATCTCGGGACGAGATTTCTGTTATGGGGGAAGGGTTGTAACACCCTGGGTGTTAAGCATGCATTTAACCTTGTTATTGCATGATCACAAGCATCATTGAGCATCCATGATCATAAGCATGTCATGTATTCCATCTAAGTTGGCTTATATTGCATGTGTGATTACTTAATTGCATTACTTATGCTAGGGTTTCTATGTAACCAATGTATGAAATGTGTGTGGAACCTTGGGAATACCTTAAACATGTTTAGAATAGCATAATGAACAACTTTGGTATTCATGACTAAATCTAGTTTAGTCTCTAAGTCATTGATATGGTGTATTACATCAAATTTAAGCTGTATGTTTGACCTAGTTTGAATTATGTCATAGAGTCTTTGCATGGCAAAGCACCCTTAAGCAAAGTTGTAGTATTTGAGTAGAGCAATAACTTTTATTTTTAGGTCATGAGCTAATTCAGTGCATAGCTTGGTGTTTTTGAGCTCACAAAAATCAACATTTCACTGTTTTTCCACACTTAGAATTTTTCTAAGTCAATATCGATTTTCAGTTTGATTGGCTCTACTTTGGGATGATTTTACTCCTCATTCTTTGAGAATTAGACCTTGATCTTTAAAGAGGAATTGTAGATGGTATATAGGGCTTCAACTTTTGTTAAGACTGTTTGCGCTAATAAGCTACGGATTAGGAGCTTGATCGTCGTCAACATACGCCGTCAGGCTCGAGCGTCGCCTCTGATTGCCAAACTGCATCGCGCAACAGTGGCCGACCGATTCAGAATTTGAACACCGTGTGGAGGCCGCACGTCGCCGCCGGCCTGCTTGGAAGCCACTGTAATTTTCTAAGAATTTATTGTGGACATTTAGTATATGTTTGTTATTTTCCCTAATTTTCTAATTAAATTGATAAAGGCATTTAAATAAATAGTTTGGGCTTGGCCATTATGTTTTTTTGAGTGTATTTTATGTTCTTGAACTGTTGGTATACTTTGTGATGTCAAATTTTGAATGCTTACATGTAGTAAAAATATTGTTGCTTTATAATTCGAGTTAGAAGGGTTTTCGGACAGATTCTGTGGTTTGATATGTTGCATAGTCAAAATGATGTTTGCTGTAGAAATGGTTAATAACAAAGTTGTAGAGAACTTCTTTATCTATCTTGTGTTAAAATTTCAGGGTAAAGGTCAAAGGGTTTAGGAGTTATAGCTGTTTAGGTTTAGGAGTTATAGCTGTTTAAAGTTAGTTTTCTGAAATACCGGTTCTCTGAAATTTCTGGACAGCACTGGATAGATTGTCTATTTTGGTTAGGATAGAGTGTGAATTAGTTTTTGGTGATTAAATAAGAGTTGTAGAAAATTTTATAATCTTTCCAGAAAGTCCAAGATCACAGCATTTGGATAAGTAAAACTTCAGTTATCATGTGAACTTGTAACTACCATGTGTAGTTTAGACATTGCATTATGTGAAATTTGTAAGTAGATAGAGAAGAGATATGCACATACTCAGTTAGTATAAAGTTAGCATTTCTATCGTGGTGTAACTTAACATCATTATCGCCGCATGTACCTCTCCTTATCACATCATCTCTGATCCTTCGTGTGCATTCATGAGACTCACGTAGGCATATGCATGCAATAGGTGCAACCGAGGAAGTCACGTTGGTGGAGCTAGACGACGATCCACAAGAGGAGAACTCGGAAGTGTAGCACCAGGAGGTTCCCGGCGAAGGCGAGCCTGAGGTTGATCATCTCCCGGAGTGTCCCGGTCATCAGCCAGCAACGTTCGTGAAAGACAAGCCCCAGAGCATTATAAGTCTCCCTACTTTATTAATGTCACCTAAAGTTATTCGTATTGATGCATTACGTGACAGGAGTTGTTTGGAAACTTTCTGCATATTACTTTCCTTAACCAGAAATATCTACCATGAATCCTATTTAAGTCTAGAAACACTTATTATGCTTAGCTATGCTTAGACCGGTAGAAGCCGGGTGATTTCCTGTCACCTGCGAGCTATAGGTGATAATTTGATCATGGTTGGCTATATTGTGATATCGTAGAACATAACCTGGTACTATTGAATAAATGGAGACCAGACGGAGTCTTATGTTGTGGTATCGTAGTGATTCCGTCTGTGTCGTTTAAGGACCGGACGTTGGAGGTCATCTTGTCATGTTGAACGCATGCCTCTCATATAGTTGGTCGGATAAATCGTTCCGACCGCGTAGCCGAGTAGCTCAACTCAGGCCGGAGACACGAGCAGTTAAAGTGCGCACCCTAGAGACAGTAAGGATGTGTGGAAAGCCAATGGCGTAAGCCCAAGGACGGGTTAGAGTCCCGTGCACCCTTGGCAGATTGGTTGTATCTTTGAGGGTGCGGCGCTGGTCCTACCCGCGATTGTACTTGAGTTGTACCAAAGGTGACCTGATGCGACCCTGACGGGGGAAGTATGGGTGTGTGTTGGGAATAATTCCCCAGCTGGGTAGGAATCGAATCGAATCGCCGTCTCTCCCGGATAGTGAGAACTTGACAGAATCACACTTCATCGTAGTAATTGATGGAAGTGTGGTTATGAGATTATGCAAGAACTCAACTGGATATGGTTATTATTGTGATGACTTAATGGTACCAACATGTTTGGCATAGGATAGTTGCTAATCTAGTATGAGATAGGATTAATAACTGGTGATTCATAATTAAAGATATGTTGGATAACTTATGCTTTTTCTGCAAATAATGTCTACCAGCTCTACTTATAAAGCCTTGCATACTCCTTGGTGTCTTAGTTTATTAGTTGGACGGGTAAATCTAGCTAAGTAACTTCTCGTACTCAGGGTTTTATTCCCATTGTTGCAGATAACGTTATGTATCACGGCTACTGCAAAAAATGCTTTGCTCCTGCAGTGGATGAGGACTAGGACCATGGGCAATGGTCATTCTGTTTATCATCTCACCCTTGTGCTTTTGGTTGGAGATGACTATGACACTGGCTTTGTATTAAATTACGGGTGATGTCGATGTTAAACTACTTTGCTTCCGCTACTTTCAAACTTGGTTTGTAATAATTATTCGAACTCTGATGTATGAGAAATATTTGTGAACTGTGATGTAACATGTGACGGGTTGTGTTGAATCTCTACGATCTTGGTTTGTATGTTGGTTGTTTGAGATCCTTCACGATTTCGTCGGACTACCAGGTTTATATAGGCCTAAGTATGACGGTTTGATCGCTTCGATGATTGCTATTGTACTTGTGCTCTTATAAATTGAACGGTTCTATGACAGGCTGGTAGATTGTTAACCCAATACCAAGCTGTAAAATTCGCATAAGAAAGACCGGAGTATAATAAGAGGAACTAAAGATTGTTAACTGAGTACCAGAAATTAACAACAGGGGATCAAGTCATAACACAAACACCCACTGTTGATCTACCTTTTTTATATGCAGCCTGTTCGTTTCGTCGTAAACGATCGTGGATTATTTACTGCTGGCTGGTTTGGTGTGAGAAAAATACTGTTCCAGCTTATAATCCACGATCGTATACGAGCAAGCGAACAGGCTGATGATTACCGGCTAGTTTATCAGGGGCTAACTGTAAAACTCAAATGGATGGTCTACTGAATAAAAGCATTGGTTGCAATAATCTCCTAAGGGAAATTTCGGAATCGAAAGTTTGAAGTATCAACTGTAGATAAAAAGCAAGGGATAACACTAATGCACGAATGTTACAGTTGCAGGCACCTTAAAAGCACTCTGCCATTCAAAGCAAGCACTCTGTCACGCATGGCAATGATTTTAGCATGAACTCAGATGCTTTAATCAGTATACTCAGGATCAATATATTGACTCATTAGTTTAATCTATTAAACCTTGAACATATAAGTACAACACTATAGGCATATGCAAGTTTTTTGTGTTTATTTTGCTTGAAGGTGATCTGTGTTTGCCAACAAGCAATGCTTAATTGAAATAAATATCCTCACAGTATTTTAGGCTCTATTATCTAGATTAACTAAAACTGACACCAAGTGGGAGAGAACAACATGTGTTAACTATAAGACAGCAACCAAAAAAAAAAGTGCACAAAATCCTCAGAAATTACTTAAGTTTATAAAAAGGTTTTTTAGGTTCTAACTATCAAAATTAACTAAAACTGACACCAAGTGGGAGCGAATTACAATGACTGGCCATAGACTAAAACTGAAAAAAGCAAACATGAACGTGTTAAAGAAAAGAAAGCATAAGTATGCAAATACCTAATTCAAGTCTTGATCACTCTTCCTTTGTGTCCTCAGAATCGGAGATGGGTATCAGAGTGCATGAACCAAGGATGTGTCCATTAAGGCATACATAGTACTCAACAGAACCATCTTCTGCACCCAATCTCACAGCAGCACTGCCTGGGATCATGTCTGGTTGCATCAAGTTCCATAGCTTTGTTTTACAATAAGGACACATCTTATTCGGATGGAAGTTTGCCTGCCTCTCAATCAACATCTTCTTCATCTTCGATGCAGCAAACGACTTGAAGATACCCCGGAAGAGGCCCAAGTCACCTTCCTCACCCTGGTCAAGATGTTCACAAGACTCTGAGACATACAACGCATCAGACCTGCACTGCTTGGCGCCAATAAGCTCTTCCCCAATGTCCTAGAAAAACGGGTCCTGTAGACAAAGTGCCCTGGGACTGGGTCATGGATATTACTAAACAGGTCTCCACTAGGGCACCCCATGCAATAAATAAGAAGCTTCCTAGGGCCTTCCAGTTGCCATCAACAATATGGCTTCCTTCATAGTGCAAATCCTTCATCATCTTTGGTGCCCTGGCATTGCAGAATTCCTTCCAGAGCACCCTCTTGGCAAATTCATCAAACCACTTACATACGCTGGATAAGATAGCAATCATCTTCGGGTTCCAATTCATGTGTTTGAACACGAGATACATTGCATCCTCCCTGACATGGCCCTTGAGGCAAGCACAGCTCGCAGAGTGCGTACATCGGTACCGCTTCACCACCAATGACATTTCAGTCTCAGGCGATCAGGTCAACTGTGCCCAACTCTATATAGCCCCTTCAATCCTGCTCCTGCAGCAGTTCAGCAGCACCGTTTGATGAGATGCTATTTATCATGGATAATGGATTAACCAAACATTGAAACTAACAATCAAAAGATAATTAAACTAGTAAATCAACTAGTGTACCAAAATATCAATTTCGATATGTTTCAGTTTCGCTGCTGCTCGCAGGGGCGGACCCAGCGTATGACATGGTGCGCACATATAACCCGATACATTTTTTGCGGAAGAAATTGAAGTTAGTATCCATAATACATGTGTATACATGTAATTGGGTCAGATCCGAATAGGAGTAGCATACATTAGATAGAGGTTGTGAGCTGGGTTTCGAACAGCAGGAAGGAAGAGAAGGGGCGAGCGTACCTGGTGGGCGCTAGTCCCCGGCGCGAAAGGGCCGAATAAGACGCGGCGCCAATCACCGGCGAAAGGGCCAACGAAGAACTGGCAAAGGGCGACGGCGCTCGCCCGCCCAGGCGTCGCCGCCAGGAAAGGAAGGCCGAGAGCGAGCGAGAGAGAGGGGTGAACGGGACGGGCGGGGTACGAAGGACAATGAGAGATGAACGGAACAGGCGGAAAATTTTGAGTCTGTCTAGGGAGCAGCCGGAAATCTGTCTAGGGAGCGCTCGGCTGTTTTAAGGCCAAAAAAAACGCATAGGTTCGTTTCACTTATCAGTCGGTAGCTTTTATCAACCACTTTATGTATCAGCCGAACAGAGCTCACCTTTGATTTAGTCATCCAACAACTCACAACTCTCTTCTTTCTCCTCTCCATCACTGTCGAGCACCCTGCCCTTCTCCTCCTCGTCACCACGGCTGACGACCACCGCCCCTCCACGGGCTCTAGCGATCGCCGGAGCTCCAGCAAACCAAAGCGCCCGCAGCAGGTCGCCTTCTTCCCCTCCCCCCTCTCGCCGGAGCTTCGCCATGGTCATGTTCAGCCGGCAACGCCGTGCTCCGAGCTCCGGCCATGGTGCCCCCGTATCCGGCCGCTGCTACCACCACCAGGGCCCCTAAACCGCCTAGCCACCATTCCCACCGCCTGGCTCGCCAAGCGCCTCTCCTCGGTCGGCCCTTCTATACCAGTCTGAGTTGGAGAAGAAAGAGAGGAAGAGGCTCACCGAAACCGTAGCCGTCGCATCGGAGCTAGGGAAGAAGATGACAGGCAAAGATCCAAGAGGAGGAGGAGGAGGAGGAGGAGGGGGGACCGGCCTACCTTGTCGACGTCGGCACCGCCGGAACCCGCTGCCGCCGTCGGAGGGGAGAGAGGGAGGAGCGCCGAGAGCCTGTGCGTAAGGGAGGAGAGAGTCACGTGCGCGTCGGGGAGAAGGGAGTCGGGTGTTGGAGTTGGATAAAACACTCGATTGGTGTTTAGCATTACTCAAAAATTTTGGCTAGGGGTGGGGGAAAATGGAGAAGCTCCTTGCCTATTTAAGTGTTTGAGCCATTCGTTTAAAAAAACATGTTTGTGCCACATTGTTGGGGAAGGAGACACATTTATTTCTCATGTTTTGTGATGCACACACTCCCTTAACACGTATCCAACAGAGGCATTTGGCGGATGCAAACATCGCTTGCGTAAATAAGCTGCAACCGCCGAACGTAAAGATATGGCTATATATAAAAGCTATTAATTTCTCGTGGTGCTTCACACGGATCCAATGTGAATGTTCAACAGACACAAACATCACAACTGGTGTAATATAAGGACTAATTTGGTTTGACATCATGCAAACATAGTATTCTCAGGCAATAGATTTTGCCTGCCTGAGGTCAGATTTGTTGCCTGGTGAAAGCTGTCTGGCTCAGGGTTCCATCCACAACAACCCCTAAATGCATCACAACCACCAGACTCTATGTAGCCTAACTGCTCAAGTAGAGATTTGGTTATGTAGACAAGATAATTTTGAAGTTCATCCCATGCATCTAGGGCACAACACATACGCCACATGTTGGCAGAATCCCTCTTCGTCTAGTTGGCTCAAAGGGAGAAGGGACACACTTGTTGGTACAAATCTCACCACAGGAAAGTGAACTGATCAAACTAACACATGGAAAACATACAAGCAGCATAGATTGCCCACCCTATTTCAGGCGCCTGGAATATAGCATCTCCCCTATTTCAGTAGTTCTTCATATTCACATTTGGGGCGGGCAATGGTGTTTTTTCTATGTTGGTTAAATGTCAATAGTGGGGCGCTTTCGTTCACTTACAGAGTTGTACTCGGTGCAAATTGAAAAAGGCAACTTGAAGAGAAAGGGAAAGAAAAAGAATAGACTAGTGTATCGTAGGAGAAGCGAGAATGTTGTCTTGATTTTAGTTACCCATAATTTCAAGGTGTTAACTTGATATTGAGCAATTTCCTCTCGCCATGGTGTCCGCATTGGCCTGCTCCTTGACCCCACCGCCACACTACCAAGGTAGCCTCCCTGTTTCCCATCCTCCTCCTATCGTCGCTTTCATCTCCAACTCCAACGAATGGCCTGGCCTAGCCTGCCACCTCCACCGTCGCTAGGGCCTGAACCGCCTGACAGTTGTCCCCACCACTGGTCTGCCTACCTCCCTAGAGCCCCTCTTTTTCTAAGGTCGTCGGAGTTGGGAGAGAGAGAGAGAGGAGAAGCTCACAGAAGTTGGGAGAGAGAGGAGAAGCTTGTCGGAACCCTAACTCGTAGATTCTGGAGGAGGATGAAGAACCGCCTACCTCAATGCCAATGGAACCCGCTACCTCCACCGAAGGGGACATAGGGAGGAGCCGCATGGGGAGGAGCATGTGCGCATCGGGCGTGTTGGGGAGGATCTACCGCCGGAGGGGAGACAGGGAGGAGCCGCCTATGAGTGGGTCGCGGGCCACATGCTGGCCAGAGTGTCGCCTGAGCGTCACCCAAATCTCAAGCGTCTACTCTATAGGAAGAGGAGGAGGGGGAACCAGCCTACCTTATCGGCGCTGGCACCGGCGGAACCCACCACCACCGTCAGAGGAGAGAGAGGGAGGAGCCACGTGGGGAGGAGCACTGAGAACGCGTGTGTCGGGGAGGAGAGAGTCGCGAGCGTGTCGCAGAAGAGGGAGTCGGGTGTTGGAGTTGAATAAACACCTGATTTGTGTTTAGCATTACTCAAAAATTTTGGCTAGGGGTGGGGAAAAAATGGAGCAGCTCCTTGCCTATTTAAGTGTTTGAACCACCCATTTCAAAAAAAGTGTTTGAGCCATGTTGTTGGGGAAGCGAGAAACACATTTATTTCTCATCTTTTGTGATACACGCACTCCCTTAACACGCCCTTTTAGACCTGCACTGTGGCGTCAATAAGCTCTTCCCCAATGTCCTAGAAAAATGGGTCCTGTAGACAAAGTGTCCATGGACTGGTTCAGGGATCTACATCTAACGACAGATGTGCTTTCTTCCTCCTCCTGTCGTTTGTGTCCAAAGCTTTCATGTTCCTCATGCCGTCCGCGAGCAGGCTTGTGCTCCTCCTCACCCATGCCACCGCCCACCACCCCGTCGTGGTGAGCTAGGGTTTTGTCAGAGCCCTACGACCATGGTCGTGGCCGCGGAGCTCTAACAAAACCGTATCTCACCCGCGGTGCCACCTTCTTCCCCTCCCCTGCCCCTGATGCTACGGCCATGGCACCCACGCCTTGACCTAGCTTGGCCGCCTCCACCACCACCAGGGCGCCCAAACCGCCCACCGGCCTTCCTCACCAAACCCATTTCCTTTTAAGGCCGCTGGAGTTTGGGTAGATGAGAGGGAGAGCTTGCCGGAACCCTAACAAGCAGATCTAGGAGGAGGAGGAAGCCACCTACCTCACTAGAGCAATCACCGCTGAAAGGTCCTAATATGGCTAGAGGGGGTAAATAGCCTATTTAAAACTCTACAATTCCACTAGAGCAATTTGTTAGTAAACTAAATGGCGAAATACAAACTTGCTCTAGCTCTACAAGGGTTGCAAGCCACCTACCCAACAATTCTAGTTGCTATGATCTCTAGTCACACAAGAGGTTATGTCACTACTCACTAAGAGCTTTCAACAAGGACAAACTAAAGGACTCCACTAGATGAAATTAAGCTACCAAGCAAGCTCTCAAATCTAGCTACACTAAAGAGCATGCTACAACTAGTTTGCAAGAAAGTAATGGAGTGAGTAGGGTGATTATACCGCCGTGTCGAGAAATGAACCAATCAACATGAAGTCAATCCACTCACTAGGAGAATTCCAATCACACAAGACACAAGAATTTTCTCCCGAGGTTCACGTGCTTGCCGGCACGCTAGTCCCCAATGTGTCGACCAACACTTGGTGGTTCGACGTCTAAGAGGTGTTGCACGAACCTCATCCAACAAATGGACACCACAAGAACCTACCCACAAGTGAGGTAACTTAATGACATGAGCAATCCACTAAGTTACCTTTCGGCTCTCCGTCGAGGAAGGTACAAGACCCCTCACAATCACTGGAGCCAGCCACGAACAATCACCAACACATGCCGAAGCTCCTCCGATGCTCCAAGCTGTCTAGGTGTCGGCAACCACCAAGAGAACCAAGAAATCCGTAGCCACAACGATCCCCAAGTGCCACTAGATGCAATCACTCAAGCAAATGCACTCGGAATCACTGCTAATCTAACTATGAAGATGAATCAATGTTGGAGATGAGTGGGAGGTGTTTGCATAGGCTCACAATGATGTCAAGTATGTCAAAGTGCCAAGAGAGTGAACCCCAAGCCGACCAAACACTATTTATAGAGCCCCTCAAACTAATAGAGCCGTTAGGGTCAGAGGAGAAGGCTCTACGTACTGACCGGACATGCCGGCCAAAGTGTCTGGTCGCGGGACGGCCTCCACCTGTCGCCCTCTTAAATTTCATTCATCGATTGCCAATGGTCAAAAAACGATCAACGCTCAAGTCAAACAACGACCAGACGCGCTGCTCCAACTCACCTGACGCAGCGCCACT